TTACAAAACACTCACAAACTCACTCACAACTCACAACTCACAACTAAAAATACACACAAAAGCTAAAATTACTCCTTCTCTCTTTCTCTCTTGCTCTCTGTATTTTCTTCTGTTGTTCTTTTTGTTGTTGTATTTGCTCATCAGACTCCCATCTATTTATAGATGGGAAGTGTACCAATTTTTCCACAATTGCGTACTTAATTTTTTCAAAAACAGCAGCCTGCAATTTTCTTCTTTTGCTGCTATCAAAAGTCTCCAAAGGCTGCTATCAAAAGTAGTGGGCGCAGCCCCACTTTTTGATTCAACAATCTCCCACTTGAGGACTGATTTTAATCTGTCCTCACACCTTAATTACTGCAGTAGTCTTCTCCGGTCTGTTACTCTAGCAGTCCAACTGAAGTTGAGCACAACTTCAGTTTGTCAATGGTCACCACCTTCGTTAGCATGTCTGATGGGTTCTTGCTTCCTACAATCTTCTTTAAAGTCAACACTTCATCCTCAAGCAGAGATTTGATGAAATGATATCGTATGTCAATGTGCTTAGTTCTGGAGTGCAACACTGAGTTCTTTGCCAGATGTATCGCACTCTGACTGTCACTGTGCAAGATACTCTCTTTTTGAGTGAAACCCAACTCTGCTAACAATCCTTGAAGCCATATCAATTCTTTACTGGCTTCTGTCACTGCTACATACTCAGCATCTGTAGTGGATAAAGCGACAATCTTTTGTATCCGCGACATCCAACTAACAGCTGTAGCTCCGACAGTGAAAACATAACCGGTGGTGCTTCTTCGATGACCAACTTCACCTCCGAAGTCTGCATCTACGTAGCCTTGTAACTTTAGATCTCCTTTTCTAAAATACAGACATTTTTCTGTTGTGCCTCGTAGATATCTCAAAATCCATTTGACTGCTTCCCAATGAGCTTTTCCTGGTTTTGACATAAACCTGCTCACAACTCCCACTGCATGGCCAATGTCTGGCCTCGTACAAACCATCGCGTACATCAAACTTCCAATGGCTGAAGCATAAGGAATCTTAGCCATGAACTCTTCTTCTTCTTTTGTTTGAGGAGACTGATCCTTGGATAAACGAAAATGGCTGGCCAAAGGTGTACTGACTGGTTTGGCCTTGTCCATGTTAAATCTCTGCAAAACACGGTTGATGTACTCTGCCTGAGATAACTGCAAAACTCCCTTTTGCTTATCTCTCGTGATTTGCATTCCAAGAATCTTCTTTGCTGGGCCTAAGTCCTTCATGTCAAATTCTTTTGACAACTGCATCTTCAAATTTCTGATGTCTTTCATATTTGATCCCGCTACTAACATGTCATCGACATAAAGTAGCAATATGATATAGCTGGACTCATATTTCTTGAAGAAACATCAGTGATCAGCATTGCACTTCTGGAATCCTTCCTTGTGCATGAAGCTTTCAAACTTACTATACTACTGTCTTGGAGCTTGTTTCAAGTCGTACAAGCTCTACTTCAATCTGCACACCATATCCTTCTTTCCGTCTGAAAAACCTTCAGGCTGGTGCATATAGATCTCCTCGACTAGGTCTCCGTGAAGAAATGCAGTCTTCACGTCTAACTGCTCTAGATGGAGCTCTTAACTAGCCACAATACTTAACACAGTCCCGATAGTATTAAGCTTTACAGCTGGAGCAAAGATTTCAGTATAGTCAACTCCTTCTTTCTGCTAAAATCCTTTGACAACCAGTCGGGCTTTATATCTCATGGAACCATCATGGTCTTCCTTCACCCGATACACCCATTTGTTGTGAAGTGCTTTCTTTCCCATGGGTAATTTGACTAGTTCCCATGTCTGATTTGAGATCAAGGACTTCATCTCGTCCTTCATGGCAAGCTCCCACTTGCTAGCATCCGGGGTTTGACAAGCCTCCCGATAATCTTCAGGTTCACCTCCATCGGTCAACAACATGTAGTCCATGTATCTCCTGTTAGGTACATGGGGCCGAGAGGACCTTCTCAATACTGGAGTTGAAGTAGAAGGTTCTGATTGCTTACCGCTTTCTTCATTTGATTCCTCTGACCGAGGATTCCTTATTACAGGAATGTCTGGGATATCTTCCACCACTGCATAAACTGGCCCACTTGCTTCTGAGCTGCTGGCACTTGTGTTATGCCGGTCCTTGTACATCACTCTTTCATTAAAGATGACATATCTACTGCGGATCATCTTTTTGGTTTCATCATCCCATAAACGGTAGCCAAACTCATCTTCACCATAGCCAAGGAAAGTGCATTTCTTTGATTTTGGATCAAGTTTGTTTCTACCTTGATCACTGATGTGCACATATGCTACACACCCGAAAACTCTAAGATGTGAGAGTTTTACTTCTTTTCTGCTCCATACCTCTTCTGGTAACTTGTGATCCAATGGTACCGATGGACTTCGGTTGATCAAGTAAGTTGCTGTGTTAACTGCTTCTGCCCAGAACTGCTTTGGTAGGCCTGACTGCACACGCAAGCTTCTGGCTCTTTCAGTCAACGTTCGATTCATACGCTCAGCTACACCATTGTGTTGAGGCGTACCAGGCACGGTTCTCTCAATTCTGATCCCGTGCTCATAGCAAAACTTCTTGAATCTGGTGGTTACGTATTCACCACCATTGTCGGATCTGAGCTTCTTGATCTTCAAGCCTGTCTCATTCTCCACCATAGCTTTCCAAATCTTGAAAGCTTCAAATACTTCTGACTTGTCTTTCAGAAAGTAAACCCATACCTTTCTGGAATGATCATCGATAAAAGTCACGAAGTATTTCTTCCTACCAACAGATGGGACAGTCGTTGGACCCCAAACATCAGAGTGGACGAGCTCAAGCTTCTCCTTCTTTGGGGTTCTTCTACTTGTCTGAAAGCTGACTCTCTTCTGCTTTCCAAGTATACAGCCTTCACACATGTCAATTTCTATTGACTGGAGGCCTGGTAATTTTCCTTTTGAGTGAATGATATTCATCCCTTTTTCACTCATATGCCCAAGTCTTTGGTGCCACAGATTGGGACTTTCATTTGCTGCAACTGCAATCAGATGACATGCTCCTGTGGTCTTGTAAAGAGTACCACTCTTTTTGCCTCGAGCAATTGTCATTGCACCCTTTGAAATCTTCCAATCATCACCATGGAAGATTGTTGTGTAGCCTTCACTGGCTAGCTGGCCCACGGAGATTAAATTCTTCGTCAGGTCGGGAATATGTATGACATTTTTCAATTCCCAAACAGACCCGTTCAACTTTATTTTTACTGCACCTTTGCCGACAACCTCACATGATTGCTCATTACCAAGGTAAACTTTACCAAGATTTCCAGGAACATAATTCTCGAATAGTTCCTTCTGTGAGGTAGCATGAAAGGATGCTCCAGAGTCTAACACCCAAGACTCTTCTCTGTTCTCCAAAGAACATATCAACGTATCTCCTCCAGAGGTTGAAGCAATATTTGCCTCCTCTTTTGTCTCTTGACTCTTCGGTGCACTTTTGCACTGATTTCTGTAGTGTCCGGTCTTCCCACAATTCCAGCACTCGATTGACTTCGAGTTTTGGGAACTACGATGATTTCTGGACCTGGATCTTCTTCCCTTTGATTTGATATGTCTGCTTTCTTTGGTTGAACTTCTTCCTCTCGACTCTGTATGCAATACAGAAGAGGTTGATGGTTCACCCGAGTGCCTCCGCCGGATCTCTTCACTGAGAACCAAATTTTGGACATCATCAAATCTCAACTTATTGCTTCCCGATGAGCTACTCACAGCTATGACTGTAGCATTCCAGCTTTCTGGTAGGGAAGACAAAAGTATTAAAGCCCATACTTCATCATCGAACTCGATCCCAACTGAACTCAACTGGGTTGTAACAATGTTGAGCTCATTGAGATGATGTGCCACCGGAGCACCTTCGGTCATCCGTAGGTTGAACAATCGCCTCATCAAATGAACTTTATTTGAGGCTGATGGTTTCTCGTACATGTTGGAAAGAGCCTTCATGAGGCCTGCTGTCGTCTTTTCTTTTGCAATGTTAAAAGCAACATTACGGGATAACGTCAGTCGAATGGCTCCAAGGGCTTGTCTGTCAAGGAGACTCCATTCTTCTGCCTTCATGTCCTCTGGCTTCTTTCCCGTGAGTGGTTGATACATATTCTTCTGGTACAGATAATCCTCGATCTGCATCTTCCAGAAGCCAAAGTCCGCACCATCGAACTTTTCGATTTTCATTTTTCCTTCGTCTGCAGCCATCACTTCGTCTCTGATCTGACTTCTCTGCCGGATCGTTTTTGTAATTTTTGTGAACTACCGTGTTTCAGAACACGTCGGTAAATAAATTTGTTGCGCCAACAAATTTGGCACTATTTTCGTTTTTCACTATTCACGGAATAGTAACCGACACAAAAAAAATACAGAATTAACAATCTGGCTCTGATACCAGTTGTTGGGAAAAATACGCTGAAATTTCCATGAAGTCGGATCTATAAAAAAATGAAATAAAAAATAAAAATTGGACACACCAAATTGATAACGGAGTTCGGCCAATAATGCCTACGTCTCCGGACTACTGCAGATATTTTATTAGGAGAAAGAAAACACTCGTGTTTACAAAACACTCACAAACTCACTCACAACTCACAACTCACAACTAAAAATACACACAAAAGCTAAAATTACTCCTTCTCTCTTTCTCTCTTGCTCTCTGTATTTTCTTCTGTTGTTCTTTTTGTTGTTGTATTTGCTCATCAGACTCCCATCTATTTATAGATGGGAAGTGTACCAATTTTTCCACAATTGCGTACTGAATTTTTCAAAAACAGCAGCCTGCAATTTTCTTCTTTTGCTGCTATCAAAAGTCTCCAAAGGCTGCTATCAAAAGTAGTGGGCCCCCACTTTTTGATTCAACAAGATCATTATCAGCACCCAACTTTGTTTCTGGTTGATGGTGTCTCCTCTATTGTGCTCTCGATTTTCTCATGGATGAGTGAGGCGTAGATGTGGAACTCACGGGCTCCCAGAAGGCCCTTTCCCTCCCCACAGGTATGGGTATCGTGTGTGCAAGCCCAAAGGCCCTCGAGGCCACCAATACTACAAAATCAGTCGTGTCTTCTTCGATTGGGCCAACTAATTGAAGTTCTATAAGATGGGGACTTATTGGCCCTACACACCTTACATTTAGCTTCTATCCAGGCTAAGGGCAGCTCTCAACCTTATCTTTGAGAAGGGCCTCCAAAATGTTATTGCCAGGCATGCCCGCCTTGCTAAGGCCACCAGACTTGCAGTGGAGGCATGGGGCTTGAAAAACTGCACTCAAAAGGAGGAATGGTACAGTGACACCGTCACTGCTGTTGTTGTCCCTTCTTACATTGACAGTGCAGAGATCGTGAGACACGCCTCGAAACGTTACAACTTGAGCTTGGGCCTTGGTCTCAACAAGGTTGCCGACAAGGTTTTCAGAATAGGATATCTTGGAAATATTAATGAGGTATTAATTTTTATTTTTCCTTTTCTTACAATTACCTCATTCATATTCCTTTTCCTTTATACAAATCGCAGCATTCAACATAGATAGTCTTAAATTGACATATAAATTGCAAAGGCATTCTGCATGTAACTGTAAGAAACTAGCAATTTTGGTTCTTAACGTATGTGAAGTAAGGCATCTAGCTAGCCATAAAGTTTTTAGTCCTTGCAATAAAATAGTGCACCCAAAATGAAGAACTCAACATGTCAACTCAAAGAAGCTGCAGGACCACATTGCCATTTAGACTTCTTACTATTAAAAGATAACCCAATCTATTAGGTTAGTTTTTGTAATCGACCTTAACCATATTGATTGTTTTGGCATAGCAATGTATCGTTCATGATCAACCAAAATCGATTTATCTGCCAATAGTTACACGACTATTTTTGTTACTTATCCAATTTGGTACAGTTACAACTACTAGGTTGTCTTGCTGGTGTGAAAATGGTGCTCAAAGACGTAGGTTATCCAGTGAAGCTCAGTAGTGGAGTCGGAGCAGCCTCTGCATACTTACAGAACACAGTTCCTTTGATTCCTTCAAGGATTTGATTTGTTTCAACAAAGTTGCCTTTTTTTTTGTTCTGTCTTATGATTATACTGTAAGAATTTCTCAATCATTACTTCTTTGTGGATTTGTCTTGGTTAAGTTTTTTATTTTACTTGATGGGATGGACTTTTATGTTTGATTTTGAAGTTTCTTATTATGAAGCCGGTCTTCTTTACACTGCTTCACACACATATCGTTCCGGGGCAGATCCAACTAATGGAATGAGGCGGGGCCAAATTTGTGGTAATTGAAAAAATGATAAAAAAACAAAATTGGCACAAAATAAGACATGCACAATTACCATTATATATAAATTTTACTATTTTTGGAATAATTCAAAATGAAATATTAAAACACCCTATAATTTATATATTTTAGTATAATATTAATATCTGTAACGCCCCATTTTGATTTTAAGAAAATTTCGGACTTTTCCAAAAATCATGAATAAAATTTTTGAAATTCGTTTCTCGATTTCAACACATTTACAGGTGCAATAAATCATTTCATAAAATAGTTCAAGTCGTATATGAACTAACGAAGATTCATTACCCAATTTTCACAAGAATCTCATTATTCAAACGACACATTGTGATTTTCACAACATAGGCATTTCAACATAATAAACCAGATCATTAAGTTTATATCATGGAAACATAAACCAGTTCATTGGATTCAAAATCAATCCACTGTTTGAATATAACAGTTTAACAAGTTCAACAATAATAAAGCAGAAGCAAATAATATCATAAATGCAGACCGGCCAGTCATCTCCTCGTCGCCATGCATGTCACTAGCTCAACTA